AGGGAGGGAGTGGGGAGAGACACAGGGAAAGGGGGAAGGGAGAGATGGTGAGGGGGGAGAAGGGAGAGACACAGGGAAAGGGGAGGGAGAGATGGTGAGGGGGGAGAAGGGAGAGACACAGGGAAAGGGGAGGGAGAGAAACAGGGAAAGGGGGAGGGAGAGATGGTGAGGGGAATAGGGAGAGGGGAGAGACACAGGGAAAGGGGGGAGGGAGAGAGATGGGAGAGACAGGGAAAGGAGGGAGGGAGGGAGATGGGAGAGACAGGGAAAGGAAGGAGGGAGGGAGGGAGAGAGATGGGAGAGACAGGGAAAGGAGGGAGGGAGGGAGATGGGAGAGACAGGGAAAGGAGGGAGGGAGGGAGATGGGAGAGACAGGGAAAGGAGGGAGGGAGAGAGATGGGAGAGACAGGGAAAGGAGGGAGGGAGAGAGATGGGAGAGACAGGGAAAGGAGGGAGGGAGAGAGATGGGAGAGACAGGGAAAGGAGGGAGGGAGAGAGGAGAGACACAGTGGAAAGGGGGGAGGGAGAGAGATGGGAGAGACACAGGAAAAGGGGAGAGAGAGATGGGAGAGATACAGGAAAAGCGGAGGAGGGAGAGAGATGGGGAGAGGAGAGACACAGGAAAGGAGGGAGAGAGATGGGAAGAGACATGGGGAAAGGGGAGGAGAGAGATGGGAAGAGACACGGGAAGAGGGGAGGAGAGAGATGGGGAGAGAGGAAAGGGGGAGGGAGAGAAATGGGGAGACACACAGGGAAAGGGGGGAGGGAGTGAGATGGGGAGAGACACAGGGAAAGGGGGGAGGGAGAGAGATGGGGAGGAAGAGACACAGGGAAAGGGGGGAGGGAGAGAGATGGGGAGGAAGAGACACAGGGAAAGGGATGAAAGAGGCAGAGGGGGAAGAGAGAGACAAAGAGGGAGAAAAAGAGAGAGACACACATGGGGAGGGGAAGAAAGAGGCAGAGGGGGAAGAGAGAGACTGGGAAGGGGAGGGGAGACATTGACACAGAGGAGCAGTGAGGGGGAGAAAGAAACATACAGAGTGACCGGGGGACACAAAAAGGCACACAGAGGGGCTTGAGATAAAGAGACACACACAGGGGCAGTATATATCCTCCCCACCCCCCGAGGCATTCCCCTGCCGGCCGATCTCCCTCCCCGTTCCACAGGCACCGTGCAGGCAGCCGGCAGGGGAGGAAGAGAGGACCCGGGGCAACGCTCCGGCTCTCACAAGGGTGAACTCTAGCCCTGGAGCTACGGGCTACAGTTCACTCTCACCACTTCCTGGTGGTCGCAATAGTAGGAGTGAACTCTAGCCCCATACACACACTGCCCCCCCACACACACACACACCATACACATTCACACACTGCCCACCCATACACTGAACCTTTCACACACATTGCACCACTGCTCCTATACCCTACTACAGCCCCATATCCCAGCAGACTCCAGGTAAGTTGTCAAACTGTTCTTAAACGGTTTGACTACTTACTCTGGGAGGGGGTGCCGACGCTCCTGGCACCATAACCTCTACACAGAGGAGTAGTGGTTATTGTGCATGGAATATTTCTTTAAATAATCGACAAGTTCCCCTCCCGGGCTCAGGCTCTGGATCCGCCACTGGTATATTATATTTACACATATTAATGTACATTTATACATGCAAAATGCACAGAGAAATTTCATTAATATGTACCTTATGTAATGAGCAGATATTGGCCCAGTCTTGTTGCTAGGTGCAAACTCCAGCACAATAACATATTTAAAGTGAAGAGCACACCCACAGGACTTCAAAATAAACATTTTTTTTACAGTTGTGCCCTACATACATTCACCATTTCAGTCAAATTAACAAGCTTTCCTTAATATGTCAAGGTAGTTGAACTGAAACATTGATTACATGCAAAGGCACATCTGCTTAAAATAAATCTGCACTTTTGTTTATTTTGAAGCCAATGAGTGCGCTTTTTTACGTTGAAGTACTTTTAAATTTTAAGTTATCTGTTCTAACTCTGTATCTGCGCATTATGCTGGGGCGACGCATTATGGGGCTGGTAAATATTTTTTTTTCAGGGCTGCTTTTAATTCCCAGTCCGGCCCTGTATACAT